ACTTCTTTTACACGATTTTGATTTAACACGAATTAGGAAAAAAGTTTAATTCTCTTTTTACACGACTTATTTTGATTTAACACGATCGACCAAAATTCTAAGAAGAAAATTTTGCTTTACTTTTATTTTTATAACTGCGACATTGGAGACGAGGAATTAATTTTGCGTAAAAGTTAATAAATGGTAAGTTATAGTTTTAAAACCTTTGTTTTAATAACCCTTTAGTCTACAATATGTGACGATATAATTAAAATATAAGTGACAACGAATAAAATCTTTTTACGTGTAACTCATATTATCTTGCCTAATTTTTTAGTTCATGAATTAGTGACATGTTTTTTTCCTTTTCAAATGATAATTTACTTTGTACGATACACGTGCAATCTTTATGAAATAAAATGTTTAAGATGCTAACATGAAAGCTCATGGTTTATTGTATTATTTTTGCTGATTTCTTGGGACTGGAACCAATCTTCTATTTTTCCATAGATGCAATATATTTTTTTACACGAATTTTTTTTACACGTTTTCTTCGGGAACATATGTGTCGTGTAAAAACAGAATTAGGTGTACATTTATATAGTGTGTCTCAAAATTCATGTAAGATTTGAATTTTGCACCATTTACGTGGTAAAGTGTTGCCAACGAAGAAAAAGACAGCGTTGACAGTTGTCAATTTAGAATTATTAAAAATGGATCGCAAGACGAAAGAACACCGCATCTCCATTGTTATATTTACAATTTTTAATTAAAAATTTACTTTTGGGACACCCGATATATCCTCTTAAAAACCAGAAGCACCAGCGTTTCATTTTTACATGGATAAGTAAAACTTGGTGCTGTCACAGGAATTGCAATCGTTTCCAGAAAATTATAATTTACCTCTGTAACGAATATTACACAGACTATTGCTAGAAATAATTTTTATTTTTATTTTTTCCTTGTTTTAGTACCTTTGATATGTATTCCATATCTTATGTAATTTTTATTTATATAAAAGGGAGCGTCTATTTTGAAAAATAATTGAAAAAGAAACAGAAATGACTGTGAGATATAATGACATACATATACCAAAGCAAAATATTTTCTTTTTATTAAAATTATTTAAAATCCATTTTATTAATCCGTAGGATTAGTATTAACCCTTTTTTCAATTCTTCATTTAGTGAACAAGAAAACAGAAAACAAGTAATTACTTGAATTACTTAAATTCGAAATATAAATTACAACGAGAGCTGTATTTAATATAATCAGTAAACAAAATTCTTTAAAATAAGTGGCAGTCGAGGAACTATCCTGTGAAGTAAATTTCAAACAAAGTACTTAAAATAGTAGGAAGTTATTGGCAACAAAATTGTAAAATAATTCGGAGTGCAAAGAAATCTTATTTACAATTTATTTAAAATTATTTGTTTTCATGGGCGACAAATTAATATAAAATAAAAAATAGATTGAAAAGAAGACTATTAACCCCTTCCCGTACTTCGACGAGTCTGACTCGTGACGAGGATATTGGCCCGAACACGAATATCACGAGCCAGACACGTGAACAGAACATTTTTCTAAATATAGTTTTGAAACTGTCATCTGTTATAAAATATAATATATTTATAATACTTATAAAAGGAAAAAGGATTAGAGTTTGCTTCCACAACAGTAGTTTCGCGTAAAACTGACTATATCACGCGTATTTACATTTCGGCTCGTATTGCGACTGTTTTCGAGCATCAGTCTGGTCCGTTTACCACGCGTTGATGCCTACCATTTGGGCCCGGATTTCGTCGAGTTATTGGTAATAAAATTGAAAAATAATTCGGAGTGCAAAGGGTTAATTTCATTAATATTTGTTAACACCTAAATTTTATTAACTATCAACCTGTAATTATGTGTATATAATGCATATATAAAAACTGATATATACGTTATATTTCTATTCGAACGAAAGTTGACATTAACTATATCAACGACTACATATTTCAAATAATTGTAAAATAAAATATTTGAAATCAGTTATCGACTCGTTTGACAATGTTAGTGTTGAACTTTCAAACGGTTACTATTTCTATGTAGGCTCCTTATCAGCAATAGCTGCACAGGGCAAAGTTTCAATAATTATAAATGTCAATGACATAAGACTCTATTATTTATAGGTTTATTCGAATAAAAATTCATTTGAATGAACAATTATTCTCGTATAGCTTCCTGCCATTTATATTTTTATATCACAGGAATATATTACAATAAATTACTTACGTAAAATTTTATGTAATAAGATAACGTTTTATTCGAATTTTATGCGATAATGTAACAATAAAATTTCATTCGAATAATCTTCGATTCGGTTATATGCGAAATAAAGTTTGTTGGGATACAGTGAAATCGAGGAATATTTCAAGAGAAAATTTTACAAAGCAGGTCCTAGAGACCAGGATATTCGCGACTGAGTAAATATATTTATGAGGACTGGATTTATGCGTGACGGAAAAAGCATGACAGATTTAGCTGATCTTCGTAATCGTATTACGAAAACGATTCAAAAAAAGCACACCTGCAAATCCTGCAAGCGTGTTCCGCGAAAATTTATCGCTTTGTGATAAACTTAAATTGGAAATCGAGTATTTACTTATACGAATTCATAGAAAAATACATATATACTTCCTCGTCTTATAAATTTTCTAATTTATATATAATTTTCAAAATGGTTATTTCCACGACACACTATATATTCATATAATTTAATAGGTATACACTTTTCCGTCTTATAATTTTTTCCATTTATATATCATTTTCAAAATGCTCACTTCCAAGACACCCTGTATATTCATATAACAAAATACATATACACTTTCTCGTCTTATAATTTTTCCCATTTATATATCATTTTCAAAATGCTCACTTCCAAAATACCCTGTATATTCATATAACTTATGTAACAAAATACATATATACTTCCTCGTCTTATAAATTTTCTAATTTATATATAATTTTCAAAATGGTTATTTCCACGACACACTATATATTCATATAATTTAATAGGTATACACTTTTCCGTCTTATAATTTTTTCCATTTATATATCATTTTCAAAATGCTCACTTCCAAGACACCCTGTATATTCATATAACAAAATACATATACACTTTCTCGTCTTATAATTTTTCCCATTTATATATCATTTTCAAAATGATCACTTCCAATACACCCTGTATATTCATATAACTTATTCATGTAACAAAATACATATACACTTTCTCGTCTTATAATTTTACCAGTTTATATATAATTTTCAAAATGGTCACTTGCAAGACACCCTATATATTCGCTTCCAATACGGTAATTAAAGAAAAATAATTTTTAAATTAAAATAAAGATGATAAACAGTAATGAACGTTAGGAAAATTATTTTTTAAATATTACTCGTCGTAATAAATCATAATGATCTATTTTTACAAGACGATAATATACATTATTATTTTTTTCGTAACATTTCGTACTATAATTTTAATATGAAACGTCTGGGTAAATAACACTTGGCTGTTCATATGGGTAACTAAACACGAATCTTCCTATTTCTATCTGAGGTTACGAAAATGCAAACTCTCAGTAACGTGACCTTTTCTCATATTCATCCTTCCAGTTCTGAATTTCCCTTACATTTAACTTACATGCAATCAATGATATTTGAGATTATTTATATGCGCGAATAAATACGCGAGATGTTCAGTCACGTTTTTTTATTACCATATAAACAGTTGTCATAAACACGTACAGTTCACAGCATTTCATCGACCACAGTTAATTGGATAGGTTAACCATCGAACAGTGCATGGCGTGACAGTCGCATGGCGAATGCTGGGTCATGTGACCCAACAGAAAGATCTTAATCGTGTGGTAGCAAAATTACATTTCTTATTTTATTAGATATTACAATAATTTAGATTAACGATTAAAACCGCAATTTTTTATTAATAAAAAATTTCATAATGTAGGTTAGAATTAAGTATTATAGAAATATATACATAATTTTTATCTCGTTGCATTATCAATTATAATATCTAACACTATATTATCAGTGCATTGTATTATCAAATGCTAAAACAATTAGAAAAGCTTGTCATTTTTTTACTTTTTAAAATTGTAGATCTTAAATTGATTTGTACATTGATCCGATCTGGATATCAGAGATTTATACACACACAGAGGAAAATTATTTTAATAATTTAACAATAAATAAATTAAAATACGAGAAACGTAAAAAGTACGAAAAATAATATAATTTATCAAAAATGAAATAAAAATATATATAAAGTAATACTAAAGCATTTAATAAGATAAATAATAAAAATATATTTTTATTATAGTTTACTTATAAAGTAAACATTATATATAGGTTCATTCATAATAAAAGATTCATCTCTTGATTTCAACATATTTCTCTCATAAACAACAAGAGTACAAATACTTATGGAACTGACTGCATATATATATATATATATATATATATATATGTGTGTGGAAGTTATTTATAATGTATTATAAATAATGTATTAATAATATTAATAAATATTTGAAGGTTATTAATAAATTATTAATGTTATTCGTAATAAGAATATTGATTGTATATTTATTTTTCACTTCTGTCTTGGACTGACTTGGGAAACAGAAAATTGGTTTCTCGTGATTACTGTTACTCAATGTTCACGACAAATTATATCGTCCTATGTTTAAGCCTACTTATCGCTAACATAAACGTTCAATATAATAGAATCGTTGTAATACTCTGTTCCGAATCATGGTTTTAACAAAAGGCATTTAAAAGCCGAGTCAGCAGGCTTAGTATTCATTATTCGAAGGCTGAATAACGCGATTTATGAATAGAAACAGAGTTCACATTGAAAAATTATAATTGAGGCACGTAATCAAGACGCGTAATAACAAAATATATATTGAAATGCAAAATTTTCATTATTCAATCTAATTGTGGTTATTTCATGATTTCAGACCGCCCTTAGTATTTTCTTCCAAGAAGCTGCGATACCTCCGTGCGCGCAAGGACCTGGTACACATTTCGGCCAAGTAAGTTGATTCGTTTTGCTTTTGACTGAAGTTAACAATAATTTGAACGGATCGTGTTGTCCACAAAGGAAGCAGTCTGCAAAACATTTTAAATATCACAATTAAATCTTGCAATTTTACTAAATACTATATACCAAATATAAACTGATCTATTTTGTTAAAATTGTTCCCTTGTAAACAAATATTCAACATATATTGCAGATATTCAAAATATTCCAGCACACGACTTTAAAATTTTTAATTATAATGATTATGCAAGAGAACTATCTCCCAAGATTAAAAAATGCTTATAGTCATTGCATTTCGTACCAGAATGTGTTACCATGTTTTTACAAAAACCTTGACCTATCACCTTACAATGAATTGGTAGATATAAAGAAGGAACTCTTGAATAGGGTAGGCCTTGAAATCGTGGACGAAGATGTCACTTATTATTCACGAAAGTAAACCATTTTGTGTACTCTTGCTGTTTTTTATACGTACACGCTTGACATTTAGGTTAGGTTCGAATTCAGCTCGAACCTTTCCTTAAAGTTACATACGTAACGTGCTGAAATAAACGTTTATATGAATATAAAGAAATAAATGTCTTTCCGTATATAATAGAATATAAAGATTGGTATCATAACCTATTTTTTCGCAACGTGTGTCAGAACGAATCATAATAATTAAACTTCAAAGTAATTTCTCCCAACTTCGTGGACTGCTTCCTTCCTGCATAACATGTTCCAAATAAAGTCTGTCGAAAGACTCCGACCCGTCTTTGATCGTTGCTGTATTCGTGTACCGGCATCTAATCGATACGAAACTATTTCCGCGTCACGAGCCTCGTAACTGTCGTGTGGTTGTCATTGCCGTCGCTGGCGGCGGTGGTGGCGGCACCGACTGCGCTCCGTCTCTCTCTCTCTCGTTCCATCGGTTCTCTTTATTTGTGTCACGTGCAACGATCCACGACGCATCACGCGAATGATTTTATTCATTAGGTTCGTTGCGCGAATCGCGACGAGATCACGCGCAAGAAATGAAATTTTTTCATTGCTTTTTGTTCGCGTGATACCTATCGTTTTCTTCCCATTGTTTTGTAAACAGCTGTGCGTCTTGAAACGTATATATCGTTTGTTTTCGTCCCGCGCACGGAATTATGGATGTTTTACTACAGTTTCTTCCCCCTTCTTTCTCCCTGTGCTATTTTACTCGCGGTTAATAATCGTCCCTTATACGTATCGCGTTCAAAGCAGCTGGAAAATCGGTCAGTTATCTGCGTTTGTATCTTTCAATCGTATACGTGATTTTTATATATGACTTATTCCCTTTTTATTCGTACTTTATATTTGTTTTAAAAAACATATTTACATTCGTGTCTCGTGACACGGATACAAGCTAGATACTCGTTGCATTTGTAAATTATTAATTGATTTACCGCTAGTTTTAGAAGACGCTTTCTAATCAGTGATTTCGTACACGATTTATGCACGACGGCGGTTTACTACATTTTTGTGCATCGTCACGTAACATGAGGGAAGTGCGCAACGTTCGACTCATCGATTTGGCTCAAACTTTGCACACGTTATACGTCCTGTATAATAATGCGATAATTTCGTAAGAGTTATTATTAAACATTTCGTAAAAATATTACGCTGAGAGAAATAAATACGGTGATAAACAAATATAATATATAATGATAATTTCTGAAATATTTGTTTTAATTATTATCATGAGTATTATGCATGTCCTTGAAATTAAATATACATATGTATATTCTTTAAATTAACTATGAAAGAAAATAGTGAAAGTATTATGACATTGAATGCAATTTTTCTTTTTTTTTAAGAATTTGACATTGCAATTATTGTAAATGTCATCCATCATCGAGGATGTCGATATTTGATAGATGTTGATTTGATTTTTAGTTTTAAATATTCAAATTCCTAGCGATATTAATTATTTTTCATAAATTATAAGTTTTTGGTCAAATTCACGTGTTTCATTGAATTTTAGCTTAACTTGTATAAATAGTTTTCTGGAATTATTACTGTCATGAATTATAGAAATGTATAGTATTACAGTATTACTGTTAGAAACTGCTGAGTTTGCATGAAATGACTTCTACACTTGCTATAAAACTCTTTTCATATACTGATTACTACATTATATAAATAAATGTAGAAAAATATTTGAAAATTCTGAACGACGAATTTCCAAAAATATTATTTATAATAATAACGTAAAATAATTTTTGAAGATTGACTTTATTGTAAATAATATATATTAGCTATTTTCAAATATTATTTACTGTCTTATTGTATTTTTTATGTATTTTAAAAAATCATTTTTCCAACGTGAATATTAATTAAACATTAATGTGAATTAGGTGTGGCGAATTCCTTATTTTCTTGTATAATGTTAATTTCTATTCCACTTGAAATATATCAGTTATACTGTAAACGTCAGATAAATTCACAGAAAAGTTTTATTCCGCAGGATAAGCAGAACTCATGTTTAAAAATCAGATTGCAATGAAATGTTCAATAATTAGCTGTATTTCAATGAGCCACAACGGCTTTGAAAATCTTACAGCATTATCACTTCGTTTAATCTTGCATTTTATCTAATTAGGTAAACGGTTGCAACATTAAGAAATTAACAAGCCGATGTAGAATTATGTAAATGTTTAAACGTTTAATCCCGGTATCTGTCTCCCGCTCAAAATATTTGCGAATGCCCTCTAACGTACATTTGCTCCGGTAGAGTGCGTTCGACGCGTTCGGGTGGCGAACAATCGCGAAAGAGCACGAGCATTTACGAACGCTCGTAGCGGTATTGGTGCATCAAAGAAAATTCGTTCGTTTACATTCGGGCGTATTCGGTAGAGACTATGTACCGTCGGTTGTCGCCCAGGCATGGATCAACAATCAGTGCTCGCGAGTATTTAGTTTGATGGAAATAGTCAACAAATCGTTCAACGCAAACGTACGCGAATATTTGCAAACGTTTATTAGAAATATACGTTTAGTGGAAACCTAACTTTATACCAGTGTTTACTATCACACAGTTTATAGAAAACAATTATAACCTATACATTTTGTTAGGTTCTTTATACAACATGGTGCACGTTTTACACTATTTACAGGATAAATTTATTAAATAATAAAATTAAATGTATACGCTATTTTAATTGCAAGTGAAATATTCTGTAATATTACTATTAGACGCCATTACAAAGTTTAAAAGCAATTTTGTTTATCTATGTGATTACAAAAATTAAAAATTACGTATTAATTACGTGTCTTGTGTAAAATTTCATGTATATGTATATTGCAACGTGTTAATATTTTGACAACTTATATAGAATGACTCATTTTATACAGGAATTTATAAATACTTATATTTCGAAAACTATGTTGAATTAGAAAATTTTCTTTTAGGACTACAAAGAAGGTGAAAAAAAATCGAATACATATTTAAATGTATGAAACTATTAAAGCTATTGGGTTTTTTAAATTATACGTTTGTGAAACAAGACAACTTTAAATTTGTAAAAACAATATTGTACAAACAATATGACACACGTAATAAGAAGAAAATTGTTAGATTGTACTAGTAAAATTAGAAAATAATTTAACGATATATATTTGCGATAAACATTTAGTGGAGATACGAGCCGTAGTGGCGCTAGTGAGTTAATGGAAAATCGTCTTAAGACTGTCGAAACGCTTACTCGCAACGAGATTAACAATTCCGCGTGTTGCATGATTTTATTTATTTATTCATTGGATGACTAGCCTAAATTCGTATGCTACATCATAAAATTTATGACAATATTCTAAATAAAGAATTCTTCCATTCAACGCAGTTTCTAAAGTATAAATGTTTATAGATTAAAATGAATCATCTTATGTATATGTATATATATATTATCATATATTTATATATTCATATTATATATACTTGGTTGAAGTCACATACTGTATACTATGTGTGTATTCATTAATAATATTTACCTTTATGTTCATATACTCTATAGAAGCTATTTTTATTAACATAAAGTTCAACCAAATTTCACTATAAAATTAATTATGCTACACTGCCTTAGTCTTCAACTCATGACACGACGTCAAATTGTTTCTGTATAACTATTAATGACATATATTAAATTATTATATTTATAATAAAATTAAAAAGAAACCTAAATGCACTTCAATCTCTGATAAACAAATATATTTTTTAATAAGTAACAAATAATAATTAAATTATAATTAAGTGATATACAATATATGCAGATAGGTATTTTTCGCCAATTGAAAAGTAGATAAAGATGTCCAATAAAGTAACAAAATCTAAAAATAATAAAACTATTTTACAAAAATAATTTTATGAGATATACACGGTATCCAATTTTAATCGATAAATGCGAATCAGAGATTGAAATATCTCCTGCACTATTGGTTTTTCCTCATAAATTGGTAATACATTTTTATGGGAAATGACGAGCTGAAGCGAGTGGTGCATTAAAAAATATATGTTTCCATTTAAAAAACCAATATGACTAGACTTTATGACCTATACGCGTCCATCTACAGAAAAACCAATTACACCATTTTATATCCCCTTCAAAACCATCAATTTCTGATCTGAAAAATTTTTCCATTCAGCGAGTCGTTTACAAGTAATTCGCATATTTATCGATTAAAAAATTGGACACCCTGTGCATTATTCGTTTCCTTTTAAATAATTAACTAACTAAATAGTGATTATCTCGTGTGTCAACAAATAAATACATTGCTATATGAAATTATTGTTTATTTCATTAATGATAGTGACCTTTTTATGAGGTGTAGGAAAACTTTCATAACTGACTGTACTTCCAACGATCTGGCCATCCATGTATCCCTGCGCGTGACTTCTGCGCACATTAATACTGCCTTCCCAAAACTGTTTTCTGCACCTCTATGTCGTAATGAGATTTTCGATCAATTTTTTTTCTTTTTTTTTTTTTTTTT